CAATGATTTGTCATTTAGTAATGAGCACAAAGCAACATATATCATGCAATGACGAAGTCTAACTCTCTTCCTATGCATCGACATGCCATACAAGAACAATTCATGCACATCAAGTAAAGGCCAATATGTAGCATAAGCAGTTTCTTGCAATTTTATCGTGTTGGAAACATAGAGAGGTGGAGATATAGTTCATCTCTCATAATAATTACAAGTAGGAGCAGCAAGCACATGCATATTATATTCATCAAAATCAACATGTGTAATGGTAGAATGCAACCCATCAATGTAATCCTTAATAAGTGCAACTTTCTCCGATATAGTGTAGTTTGGAGAATTCAAAAATATAATAGGACTATCATGTGTGGGTGCAATAGAAACAATTTAATTCTTAACATAAGTTACTATAGCAAGTTCATCTCCATAAGCATAATTTAAATTGGCATCATGGCCACAAGCATAGCAAGCATCATCAAAAAGGGATATTTCAAACGAATCAACGGGATCATAGCAATTATCATGGCATTCATCCTTTGGTAAGAACAAAGGGAAATTAAACAATGTATGAATTGAAGAGTTAGTCTCACTAGAAGGTGGGCACGAGTGATCAATCTGGTCTTCCTCCATTTGTTCTTCGCTCTCCTCATCATCTTTTTCATCCAATGAGCTCGCGGTTTCATCAATTTCTTCTTCCATAGACTCTTGCAATATTAGTCTTTTCTTGGACAACGGGGTTATTCTCAATAAATACATCAATATCGTAATTGTATTTATAATTATCATAGCAATATTTAAGGATAGCAAGATTTTCAGGTCTATAAACTGAATCATCAAAATCTTCAAACTTTTCAAACAAAGATTCAATTTCATATGCACCCTTAAAAGCAACAAATTCTTCTATTCGTTCCACATCGTAATAATCATATATACCTCTAGGATAAGAAGCCAAGGTTTCATTATCATTAAATTTGCATGAATAGGGAAGGTGTGGAACTTCAATCTTAGAGCAACAAGTATAATCATATCTCAAGCATAGATTCCAAGCATACCATTGCAACATTTCAATTTGATCCCATAAAAGTTTTCCCTTTTGAGTCAAGCGATAATCCCTAAAGTATTCACGTTGATCCAACGTTACTCCCATTATCAGGTTGAATGGGGTTTTCTCAGGATTATCAAAGTAGTGCATAATATTTTTCACATAACGAGCATCGAGGATTTTAGGAGGTTCCCCATCTCCATGAGTAGCAAGTACAACTAATTTTTTTGGTCTTTCGTGTTCATATCCATAACTAAAGATAGAGAACAACTTAGAACAGGAAATAAAAACTACTTAGTGATAAAGCAAACAAGCACACACGAGAATATTCACCCCACGCTATTGCTTCTTGGCAACGGTGCCAGAAAAAGGTATGGACAACCCACAAGTGTAGGGTATCGTTTGTAGCCTTCTTCAATAAATAAGAGTGTCAAACCCAACGAGGAGCTAAAGGGAGAACAAATATTTCCTCAAGTTCTATCGACCAACGATACAACTCTACGCACACTTGACGTTTGCTTTACCGGAAACAAGTATGAAACTAGTTTGTAGGAGTGATGCTAGAACTACTTTGCAAGAATAAAACTAGAAGTAATTTGCAAGATAATAAAAGTTAAGTGTTTACTAAAAGGGTTTGTGTCAACAAGAAAGTTATTTGTCCCTAGGCAATCGATAACAAGTACCGGTAATCATTCTTGCAATTTTATATGAGGGAGGGGCATGAGCTAACATACTTTCTCTACTTGAATCATATGCACTTATGATTGGAACTCTAACAAGCATCCGCAACTACTAAAGATCATTAAGGTCGTGAAACCCAACCATAGCATTAAGTATCAAGTCCTCTTTACTCCCATGCGCCATGACCCACCTATCCGCGTTTAGGCTGCTGTCACCCCCGCAACACCGATAATAAGCAAACCATGAACATATTGCAACACCCTACAACGAGGGTCCCTCATGTTTGCGTGAGACGGAGGGCACCGTAGGACAAAATCATAAATAAAATATACAATCATACTGTGACGCCCCCAATTCAATCGTACACTAATTATACACGCAAACGTGTACGATCAAGATCAGGGACCCACCGGAAGATATCACAACTCAACTCTAAAAATAAAATAAGTCATACAAGCATCATATTACAAGCCAGGGGCCTCGAGGGCTCGAATACAAGAGCTCGATCATAGACGAGTCAGCGGAAGCATCAATATCTGAGTACAGACATAAGTTAAGCAAATTGCCATAAGATGGCTAGCACAAAATGGGATACAGATCGAAAGAGGCGCATGCCTCCTGCCTGGGATCCTCCTAAACTACTCTTGATCGTCGGCGGCAGCCTGTGCATAGTAGTAGGCACCTCCAGTGTAGTAGGAGTCATTGTCGATGGTGGCGTCTGGCTCCTGGGCTCCAACGTCTGGTCGCAACAACCAGGTATAGAAAGGGGAAAAGGAGGGAAGCAAAGCAACCATGAGTACTCATCCAAAGTACTCGCAAGCAAGGAGCTACACTACATATGCATTGTTATGAATGAAAGGGGTAGTATATGTGGACTGAACTTCAGAATGCCAGAATAAGAGGGGGATAGCTAGTCCTATCGAAGACTACACTTTTGGTAGCCTCCATCTTGAAGTAGTAGAAGAGAGTAGATGGTAAGTTAACCAAGTATCATCGCATAACATAATCCTACCCGGCGATCCTCCCCTCTTCGCCCTGTGAGAGAGCGATCACCGGGTTGTATCTGGCACTTGGAAGGGTGTATTTTATTAAGTATCTGGTTCTAGTTGTCATAAGGTCAAGGTACAACTCCGGGTCGTCCTTTTACCGAGGGACATGGCTATTCAAATAGATAAACTTCCCTGCAGGGGTGCACCACATTTCCCAACACGCTCGATCCCCTTTGGCCGGACACACTTTCCTGGGTCATGCCCGGCCTCGGGAGATCAACACGTCGCAGCCCCACCTAGGCATAACAGAGAGGTCAGCACGCCGGTCTAAATCCTATGCGCGTAGGGGTCTAGGCCCATCGCCCATTGCACACCTGCACATTGCGAATGCGGCCGGAAGCAGACCTAGCCTCCCTAATACAAGAGCAGGCGTTCCATCCCAATCCGGCGCGCGCCGCTCAGTCACTAACGTCAAGAAGGCTTCGGCTGATACCACAATGTCGAGTGCCCATAATTGTCCCTGCATAGTTGGTTAGTGCGTATAGGACAGTGGCCAGATTCAGATCAAATACCAAGATCTCGTTAAGCGTGTTATTTTGAAGTAATCGCGAACGCCGACCAAGGCCAGGCCCACCTCTCACCTAGGTGGTCTCAACCTGCCCTGTCGCTCCGCCACAAAGATCCACTCAGAGGGCCGTCGGGACTAACATCCTTTCGGTCCCAATCCAAGAATCACTCGCGGGTACTCTACGAGCCGACCCGACTTACCACAAGTATCACATATTATGTATATAAGTATATACCCGTGATCACCTCCCAAGTGATCATGGCCCGATAGTATAGCATGGCAGACGTACAAGAATGTAGGGCCACTATTGAAAGACTAGCATCCTATATTAAGCATTTAGGATTACAGGTAAAGGTAACAACAGTAGTAGCAAGGACGGGCTATGCATTCAGGATAGGATAAACGAAAAGCACTAACATGCTACACTACTCTAATGCAAGCAGTAGAGAGAAGATAGGTGATATCCAGTGATCAAGGAGGGGGGCTTGCCTAGTTGCTCTGGCAAGGAGGGGTCGTCAACAACGTAGTCGATCGGGGCACCAGCAGCGGCGTCAGTCTCGTAGTCTACCGGAGAGAAGAGGGGAAGAAACAATGAATACAATGCAAACAGATGCATAACGACGCATGACATGACAAGTAACGGTGCTAGGTGTGCCCTAATGCGGTAGGAGGTGATACCGGCAAAGGGGGAAAACAACCGGGAAAGTATCCCCGGTGTTTGACGTTTTTGGGCAGATGAACTGGAGGTGGATTGTTGCACGTTCGCTATGCTAGGGACGTGTGGTGGACGAACGGGTCATGTATTCGGATTCGCCTCGTCGTTCTAAGCAACTTTCATGTACAAAGTATTTTCATCCGAGTTACGGATTATTTTATATTAATTTTTAAAGTTTTAATCAATTTCTGACATTACTGTATTTAATTAAATTCGAGTTATTAAATAGCTATTTCATTAAGTGCACCTAGTATTCAACTGCTGACTCAGTAGTCAAAGCGAACCAGGTCAACAATGAACAGTGTAGGTGGGGGCCATCTGTCATTGGCTAGGGGATACACAACCAACACTTTGACTAGTCAAACCGGTCAAGGTGGGGGTCATAGATAGTGGCAATATTAACAAAGTTTATTTAAACTAATTAACTTAATTAGTCAGGGTGGGGCCTAGTGGTCAGTGGGTCAATTTGCTAACACATTTTGTTAGAGTTTAAACCTAATCACTACAGTTGCATGGCTCACCGTCAGTGGCCATAAGGATTAGTTTAATTAGCCGGCTAATTATGCCCATGATTAATTAGGTGCGGGTCCAGTTTGTCATTTACACATGGGTGATGGATTAGAGTCCAGCTTAGCGGCTAATCCCACGGGGCCCACCTACCGGTGGCCCACGGGACGGTTCGAACGGCCGGCCACGCCGGTGAGGCAGAACACGACGGCGCCACGCGGGGCCTCGCTGGAATCGCCCATCCGGCCACGAACGGGCATGTGGTTGGGCGCGTCCGACAGCGTGGGAGGTGCCGTGTCGGACGGTGGTCGTGACAGTCGCCAGGGAGGCCGGGAACGCTAACGGCAGGCGATGGCAGGAGCTCGGCCTCGCGGCATACGGCGCCAGGGACGGCCAAAACAAGCAGGGGAGGGGGAAAACGGACGGCGGCTCGCAGTGGAGCTATAGGGATGTCAGCAGGCTCGTGGTGGTGCTTGAGGCAGCGAGGCCAGGGCGGAAGTGGCTATGGCAACGCGGATCCCGATGAGGTTGGAGAGGCGGCAGCAACGAGCTTCAGGACGGAGCTCCAGGCGGCGGCTTGGTGCTCGTCTGGCAGCGAGGCGGCACAGGAGGACGGACTTGGCGCCGGGGATGACGTGGCTGCAGCCAGATCCATCCGCGAATGGGAAGGGACGGCGAAGGCCGGCCGGACCTGGTCGTTGGGCGGCGGAGGTCGGGGCCATCCATGTCGAGGTAGGGCGCAGCGGCGAGGTGAAGCAGCAGCATGCGGGGCGAGGGAAGGTCCCTGGTGACGGGGCACCGACGAGCGGAGGCGGGCGGCGAAGGTGCTGCAGGGAGCAGGGGAGAGGAGACGCTGCGAGGGGAGGTTCGGGCATGAGGTGCGGCGTGAGGGAGATGGGCAAGGATCGAGCGAGTCTAACCCTGGTGGCGCGTGGTGGGGAACGAGGGGATCGGGACGAGAGGCTGCTAGCGGCTAGGGTTAAGGAGATGGTGGGGCGCCTGGGCCTAGCAGGCCTGCTTGTGGCCTAAGGCCCATGGGGATGAGGGGGGCTTCCTTCTTCTCCCTTTTTTAATTCAATTCTCATTTTTCTTTTCTGTTTCTTTAACTAGCTTATGTTTGGCATTTAAATCTTGAACCAAATGACTTTTGAAAAGTAGAGCTTTGACATATAAATACTATACATTATTTAGGGCTGCCACAAAAAAAGTTTGACGACTAATTGGATTCATTTGAAATTTTGTTTAAATAGGAAAGGTTTATTTTGGGTTGTTCACCCAGTTTAAATAGTTTAAGGGCACTTTAATAATTCAAATAAAGTTGGTTTATTTATGACAATTAGATAGTGAATTTTTTCAACCCAGTGAATGTTTTTGTTTTACTTTTTGAAGATATAATAATTTGGCTTCGATTTTTGTGAAGTGGCAATTTGGCTAAGTTAAACCTAATGACATGGAATCATTAGGGGGATTACTCTAGCTTAATTATCCGGGCGTCACACATACCAACCAAGATCATGATTAACCCACAGAACAAAATGGATCTACTCAAACATCATAAGATAACCATAGATCATTGGAAAATAATATATGGAGTTGAGCACCATGTTTAAGTAGATATTACAGCGGGGAGAAGAGGGTTTACACCACTGCATGGAGGGTGATAAAGTTGGTGATGACGGTAGCAAGATTGTTGATGTAGATCGTCGTCCCGATCGTTGCCCCGGTGGCACTCCAGCGACACCGGAAGCGAGGGGGAGAGAGCCTCCCTCCTTCTTTTTCTTCCTTGTACTCCCCCTAGATGGGAGGAGAGTTCCCCCTCTGGTCCTTGGTCTCCATGGCCGCGGAGGGACGGGAGCCCCTCCGAGATTGGATCTCCCTCTCTGTTCTCTTCTGTTTCGCGTTCCCCAGATCTGGCCGAAAACCATTTTTTATATTCCCGGAGATCCGTAACTCCGATTGCGCTGATATTTTAACATGATTTTTTTCCGGATATAAGCTTCCTTGTGCCCGAAGTAGAGCTCCAATCGACGTACGGGGTGAACACAACCCACCACCACGCGCCTGACTCAGGGGTCGGATCCTGGTGGGTTGTGCCCACCACGGGACTCCGTTTGTGGTGATTACAACTCCAAAAAACCACATATATTCCAAAATAATTCTCCATGAAATTTTATTGAATTTGGACTTCGTTTGATATGGATACTCTGCGATACAAAAAACATGCAGAAAACAGGAACTGGCACTGGGCTCTGAATCAATAGGTTAATCCAATAAATCATATAAAAAGTTGCCAAAAGTATGTAAAAGATGTATAATATTGGCATGAAACAATCAAAAAGTATAGATACGACGAAGACGTATCATCGGCCAGGGTCAAAGGACAAGAACAATCAGGCCATAGTGTTTGACAACCATCTAGATGGATGGCGTTTGATGATGATGACAATGCTCCAAGCGGCGCCCCGCGTGCTTAAGTTGTGCTAGCATCTCCTTTTCCCCATTTGGCATCTTGATGCCCAAATGGGTAGAATATTTCTATTAGGGACGTTTGCATTTGAGATCACAGGCCTCGATACTAGTTGTTTGTTATTGTTTCTCGTTTCTCATACTTTTATCGTACCTTGTGTGGTGTGTGAGCTACTTTGATTATTTCTTTGTAAGACCTTGGATAATTATCATGTTTATGACTATGCCATGCTTTTAATATCTATACGCCTGTCATATGTCATACATATTTCACTGTCTCACATACCTTGCTCACCTACTACACCTCTCGCATGCGATTTATGCACCAGCTCTTTGATACTATTTGATCACATGTTCATCTTTTGTGCAATGATTCATTTAGTACCTCTTATCACTACACTTATCTGAGATATAAGGGGAACCACATTTTTGTATTTATGTTGCATTTCAAGCAATTCCCTTATATGCATACATCAAGGAGGAGCTTCATATATTAGTAGTGTTGCATGGCCAAATATTCTTTGATTATATCCCTTGCCATGGTCTAACCATATTGTCATCAATACATCATAAAGGGGGAGAATGAAAGTGCATTTATCTCAAAATGGTATTTTGGTGGGATGACAATGTGTTCAGTGGAACTAATGATGGTTGTTAAGATTTATCTCAAGTCATTGGTTCCTTAGAGATTTATTGAGGAGGTGGTTGACCCCTACCCCCTTTAAAAAGGTTAAAGGCGTAGTTTTTCAATGACTCAAAGCTTTGGTTTCAGTTTTTTTGAGTCGTAGGATAACCACAATATCAGGAGGGGTCAAGGTTCTCGAATGACGGTGTGGGAAATACTCCAAACATATACACCAGCCACCTTACACCTAGCACTTGAAAATGCCACAAAATCCACTTCTCCGGTGCCCATTATCACCATAGCCTGTGCCCACGGGGTTCACGGTTAATTCTCTGGACACCCCGTGTACACTCTCCGGACACCCCGTGCCCACGGGGTCCTTCCGAGGTATTTTCTCTAATGACCCCGTGCAGAAGGAGCCAACTCGTATTAATATGATTGTGTATAAATATATAATATTGTATTTAGTAAACACTACTTATTTGGTAGGCATATATTGATTTACCAAAGGAAACATATGTTTATTTGGCAAACACTGATTTTGTAAAAATTTATTGGTAATACCAATGGAAACATAAGTTTATTTTGTAAGTTATTAAGAGGTGTGATAGTTGAGTGATTTTCCGATAGAACTGTTGAAGAAATCGAAAATGAGAGAAAAATGAAAAACAAAAGGAGGAGGAACATAGGTAAGATTTAGTAAAGAATGAATGGATGAGTGAATCTTATAGTTTTCAGGACTTCGCTACAAATCAAACGCCAGATTTTTTATCATGGGAAATCAAATATCAGATTTTTTTTTATCGTGAGAAATCAAATATCAGATTTTTGAGCATGAGAAATCGAATGTTTTTTATCGCAATTTTTGCTGTCACGGTGACGACAATTTTCTTTAGCAAGCATGGCAAATCCTTTTATTGTTCAGTTTTTGCCAGAATCTATCATGCTTACTAAAGAAATTTGGCTTCCTCCTGATAACATAATATGTCATAAAAATGTTTGATTTGTCATGGTTAAAAATCTGACATCACCAATTTTTCAAGTAGGATAGGAGAAGGATAAAAAAACAAGATTCAAGTAGGAGAGAGTTAGACATAGAGGTCCAAAAAACAGTCCAGACTGTGTGGTTAACCCGGGCTCCGATGAGGGAGGGTGATGGCGGTGACGTGTCTTCAGCTTGCTCCAATGCTTGTAGTTGTTGCTGGGTGGTTCATTTTTATTTTATTTTTTTGCGGGGAGTTGCTGGGTGGTTCATTGACCTAAATGTAAAAAAATGGTTCATTGACCTAAATGTAAAAAAAATGGTATTCTTTGTGACTGTTGATGAATGGATTGATTTTTTAAAAATCCTGATTTTTTTTCCCGTCCAATGCGAGGAAGCCATGAAATTTTAGGTAATCTGAAGACACGGCGAAACAGTTGTACTCTGAGGCCTCAGCCCAGACTATGCTTTTTTTCACTTGGATAAAATGGATGAGGTCGGTACGCAAAGTGCGGCGTATTATTTTAGGTTATAATAATAAGCACACCAAGATAAAGTAAAGTAATCGTGGTGATAAAGCCATTGGTGGATCCCCGCAAAAAAATAAGAGCCATTGCTGGATCACCTTTCATATAGTGTTGTTGTCAAGGAGATATTCCAAGCATCTCCTTCCTGCATAACATATTGTTTCTGCCCGGTGGTGCCTGTCCAAATTAAGAAAAGGAAAGGCAATTGTTCGCGGGGTCCGGCTTGGGTCAAGGATAATAATTCCTGGACGATCGTGATTGATAATACCAGTTGGCATACGTACGTACATGGACTGATTATATTAAAAAATATACGCATGTACCTGGACATGTTTTTTTTTTTGAGGGTATGTACCTGGACATGTAGACGGTAGAGCACGCGCCGACACCAAGAAAAGGGTGACAAAAAAATACAGTACGTAGCACACAAAAAAATGTGTTGGTATATGCATGGATCGACGCTCCTTAAAATTCCATTTGTCTGCTATGTGCGTCGTTTTAGAACCTTTTCCTTTCAAAGAAAATCGCTACCTATCGTCGTTGTGTTGCCAATCAACTGATAATTGTGTATGCTACTAGTATCCTCTCCAGTCGAAGCTGGCGATCAGCAAGATGTTTACATTTGGCTTGAACACTCAGTCGTGGTACTTTCCATCTCCTACAAACGAGCTTACATATGCGTGGACATGAGTGGAGTTCGTGGTGCACCTTTTTGCTGCAAGTTCTAGTCATAAATAAATAAATAAATAAAGGTTTGGACAATGGTGTGCCCATATGCATGCATGATACTAGTCCATCCCATTTTCTCATGGTTTCCCCACTTATCTAGAGTACTAGCTAGGCCACTTGCTGCGCCAGACGCCATGTGAGATCTTTCTCCATCCCGTCTCGCAATTCTATTTTATTTTTTGATAGGATCATCCCGCCTCGCAATTGGTTGGCAGTTCAATGCACACAGCTCCACAATCAGAATGGGAGGTATACTTCCATGTTCTGGGTTTATCCTTGTTGCATCACACCAGCAACTATGCTATGCATGTTGGACACTGTATCCAAGGATCCGGATATTCTGCAGGCACACTGTGCATTGTCACCACATATATAATGGACTTGTATTGTCTAAGAAAAATAGGCATGCAGACATGTTAGGCAGGGAGATCTTGCAGGATGGATAGTTTACCTGTGAACCAAAGTAGTACTGCAGCAATTTTCAGCTACGAACCTCACCTTTTCTTTTCTGAAGATAGACTATTGTGGAAACC